ATATTTTTGGTCACAAAACCAAAATTATCAGATCCGCCAGATCCACCACCACCATCTCTGCAGTGTCGCCATGACCACTACCACCGCCTTCGCGACAACCGCCATGACCATCATCACCACCACCGAAACACCACAACAACCAGCCAGTAGTAACACCGTCATCTCCAAAACCACCACCAAAAACCACAAGATCTCGCCAGATCCACCACCACAGTTACAACCACAGAATCATCGCCGCACAAAACACCACCAACCACCAGCACCCGCAGGCAACTTCACAACCACAACCACCAGCACCCAACCGTCACCTTACCACCACAACACCAACACCGTCTCCAATCTGAAACGTACAAACATAAACAAAAAAAAAATCAAAAAGCCGGCACCGCCACCACAACCAATATCAACACCGCCACCACAACTCCATTGCGCACACACACCCATAGCACACACCCACCCACCCACCACCACCAGCACTCAACCACAAGATAGAATTTTGGAGTTTAAACTCGTTAAGTCACTCACCTACCTACAACCTAGACCCAGTTGACTCAATCAAATCGTCGACAATGGCCAACAACCGATGGGTGGACCCTTCTGACGATTTTCTCGAGCAAATCCTACGGTTTCCGACGTACGGAGTAGCCGATAATAACTTGGTGGGAAATGATGCGGCTAGCTTAGCAGGAGCTCCGACTTCGATGATGCTCCAGCTCGGCTTGGTTGACGGTTCGAAATCAGGCACGGAGAACACCACCACCGTCGATCTGTGCAGAGCCGTACCCAGCCATCGTCCGTACCTGAGAGTGTTCGTCGGTGGCGATCTCAGACGGGCAATGAACANGACGGTTCGAAATCAGGCACGGAGAACACCTCCACCGTCGATCTGTGCAGAGCCGTACCCAGCCATCGTCCGGACCTGAGAGTGTTCGGCGGGGGCGATCTCAGACGGGCAATGAACAGCCGATTATTTGTGAGAGATGGGAGAGAATATAGAGAGAAGGAAGAGAGAGATGAGGAAAGAAGAGAGAGGCGAGAGGGGGATAAATGATTTGATAAAAGTAGGGTTTTAATATTAATATATTTATTAAAATATAAAATTATTAACCTAAAACCTGAATTATGATTAAAAAAACTTCACCACCTGACATTTGCACTCTAAACTTGAAATGCCTGGATCCGTGTAATTTCCTCTTTTGTGTGCCTATTTTGGGCATTCTTAAATACAGCCCAACACAAAAAGCGATAAAACCCAGCAATTATGAATACCGAATGAAAACGGCAAACCCATTTACTCCGGCGGATTGGCGACAACAAACAGGTAATTCACTATTTCCTAAATAATTCACCAAAAGATAATATATATACACATGAAAATAGGCTGATTTTTTTCTCGACAGCGCTTGGGCTGGATTGGGGCTATGCTGAGTTTGAGGTGTATCATGTATGCATTACTTTCGTAAAAAACTTTTAAAGATGTATAATCCTCATGAATTGAAGTTGTGGTGTCCATGATTTTCTATGTTTTGATCACATGTTTTAAACATCTTTATACATTATCAATGTTGGAAGTTGAATGAAAAACATAATGGAAAATATAATGAAAAACAGTTTCAATTTTCAGCATTATTTCAGTATT